GTATATAATTATGTATATAATATATATGTATATATGTATATATATACATATATATTATATGTATATATGTATATATATGTAATTTAAGGTAATAACTGTATACGGAGTCCACACTTTTCTAAACATAAAAAAGCTTAGGCCTAAGTTAGAAAAATGTTTGTAAACCTTTAAAGATGTTCCTTACGGTCACAGTCTGAGACGAGAGAGAGCTTGGTTATATTGATATATGTATTTTATATTTTACTTTATTTTATAGCTTGACGTATGCTGGCATAGTGCCCGTCAAGTTGGGGGTTGTTGTTTTTTTTTTTTTTTCATATTTTGCCCAGCAGACCAGGGATCATCCATTCAAGCTTTGCAAAATTCATTTTAGATTGGATTCTAGAAAGTATTTTTTTTTTATTTCGGGTGATAGACTCATGATGGAATAGCTTGCCAAATCGGTTATTGGGGCTAGCTCCCTTATCGCGCATAGATGAGGCATGGATAAACCATCCGTTAATATTTTTAAGTTTAGGCCTACCGTCTTCAAACTCTCAGGCACCAGTACGCCACCAAACAGTTACAGTTTTGTTTGTAGTTGGGCCATATAAGCAATTTTGCTTTCTCCGGCCCAGAAGTTATGGACAAGTTACAGGCATGTTGATGTTTTAGTTTGATTTGTCCCTGTCTTGTGATACTCCTGCATGCTTATAATGCCAGTCGGTGGTATTTTGTTTACTTTTGTTCTATAAATTTAAATGTGTAGACTATGAGTATTTTTGAATAATGAATAAAAGTTATGAGAAAAAAAGCAGAAAATTTTCTCTTTATTCTTTCATAAAAGTCATGTATTTATACCAGCATTATTTTTTAAATTCTCTACCTGCCATCTATCTAGGTTTACATGGCAAGGGATTAAATTCACATGAAAAGCATTTGACTCGAATCTCGACATTTGTTCAATAACCAATACAGATAGAATGAATATGCACAGTCGGGAACAAAAAAAAACCAAAAAAAAAACAAAAAAAAAACAAAAAAAAAACAAAAAAAAAACAAAAACAAAGCAAGAAACATTTATCCGGCAAAATTTACCTTCGAAATAAATCTTCATGATCCGTTAAGAATGATGTATAAGCGTTGGCTAATATTTCCTGAGTCTCCCCCTTCGAGCGTAAACCATAAAGAGATGAGCACGGTAACGTTCGGGGTGGGTCACACAACATGAGTGAGCCACCCATTGCCTTTGGGTGGGGAAATTCACATTTATCTTTCCAGATTCCAACATTGTGTATCCGGCATAATCCATACTCCTCCTTATTTCCAACTTTGTATGTGGCGTTCCATAGTTTACGTTCCTCCATGGACCAAACAGTATGTTTATAGAAATGTACAGTCTCCACAGTGTGGACGAGAATGATAGTGAGCTTCACATTTCCTGGGCAAGCAGCAAAGAAAACCACTTCGTATGTACCATTTTGAAAATCTAAAATCTTTCCCGCTTCAGAACAATATCCTATTTTAATGGTCGCGTACCAAAAATCGCCACCAAGAACACGATGGCGTCCATTCTTGTCACGTGATTCAATTACTACACTGAAAAACTCGCCGACATTAATGTCACTGTCGTTGTATTTCAAGTGAAAAGTACTTCTACTTGAATCTGTGAATCCCATTGAACCGATACCTTTCGTATTAAATACGGGCTCGGCAACGGGGATCTGGCTTAATATAGATTTGTACGACGGTATATTGATGGTAAATGTAGACCTACTGTCATTGAAATCGTATCTGTATTGCTGTGCATTTGGATATATTCTACTACTTCTTTCGACTGTCTAAAAAGATAAAAGAAACAACTATTACATACAATACATGTTAATGTCGCAGGCAGCACAAACAAGACTTCATTAAAAAAAATAAAGTTAGAGGCACGTGATTTGAATCCCGATTAATTAATCATAGGCC